TCCAACTAACCAATTCTCTCTCCTTCCTTTCCTATACTTTTTATTCTCTTTCAAGCTTCCCAAAAACTTGTCTTCCTCCACATTCTACTCTTATTTCAGCTTAAAGAAAGACTTAATGAAAAAGCAAAAACAACACGAGTCCAGTTAATAAAATGAAGGAAGTATTAACAAAAATATAAAGCAAGTTATTTTCATAATTCTTCCTGTAAAACATCCTAGCCTCAATTTACACCCAATATCAGCTAATGCAAGGCTTGCACTAACAATAATTGGAAAGAAAAAAAGATTTTATTTTATGGAGATTTTCATTCAGTTATTTACCCATTTGATTCTTTCCTCATTCTTTCCTCATTTTATGTGTCCTGCTTACTTTGCATGCTGATATTCCAGTCAATGACAAAAAAAATTCCTTTTTTTTCTAGCACAATTATTTTTTAGAACTTTCTTCGTCTTCTTCTGCCGTTTCTCTTCTTTTTCCCCTTTTTTCTCTCCTCTCTCTTCCAGTTTTTTACTACTTTTTTTTTACAGGCAGAGGCTGTTTACACTGGGATTACATATCCACATAAATATCCACATAGAAATATAGCCGCTGCAAGTGTTTCCTTTTTTCTTTATATTTCACAGTTGAAATAACGGCAGTATTTTGGATGATCATCATTGTTTACGATGTTGACAACATTGCCTTTGCTGCTGCTGCCGACGACACCGCTGCTTCCAACAGATATAGCCAAAACGATGGTACAAACCACAGAGAAAGGGATCGTAATGATGACGGAGATGAAACACCTCATCGACTCTGTTGGTGCTGTATGTGGATTGCATTTATGTAGAATGGAAGAGTACGAGATGAAAATGTTATACGCAAAGGGAAAAAAATATTATATATATATATTTTTTTTTTCATGGCACATATAATGTTTGAATTCAATAGAAAAGCTGATAAAGGATCGATCAATTACCAAAAGTGAAAAAAGAATTTTTTTTCACAATTGTTACCCAAACACGGTCAAAATATACAAACCAAAAAACAAAACCCTCTGCTTTCTTTTTTGCATGCATTTTGCATGGAATGGAAAAGCTTTCCAGACGACGCTAACAGCAGCACCGGCAGCAACAACAACACCACCGTCAGCAGCCGCCACGACAGCGACAGCGACAGCAGCAACTACGACAGCCACTGCATCCACAATAGGAACAACAGCATTATCATCACCACTATTAACACTACCGTCGTCATCAGCAGCACCAACGACAGGCAGCGTTGGCAGTCATCAGCAACAGCAGCAACACATCACCATCAATAAACTGCTGGACTTTCCATCGTCAAAATGCATCAGTTTTATGGCGTTTTTTTTTTCTCTTTATTTCATCATTGCTTTTGGCTTCTCTTTCCAGTTGTTTTTTTACTTGTTTTTGCTTCTATATGTATTTCCTGGCTTTTTCATGATTAAGAAGAAAAATTGTTTTTTTAGCTTTTCTTCTGCTGATTTTTGTCGCTTATGGTGACGTGATCTTAATTCTGATGGTGTTGATGGTAATCGTGGTAATGGTTGGTAGCAATAGCGTTAGGCATATAAAAAAAACTTGTAGTTTTTTGAATCGACCAAAATGTAATGAAATCTCAGTACGATTTTGCTTGCAAAAAAAAGAAGCTTCTGAAAAGAGCAAGAAAAGGAAAAACGACATTCAAAAAACTGTGAATTAATCGCAAACAGAAAGTATTGCAAATCTGTTTTTCTTCCCCTGCAGCGATCGACAAATTTTCTTTCTTCTTCCTTTCTTTACGGAGAACTAAGGAAGGTGCGGAAGGAGGACGAGTTGGATAGATTAGTAGATATGGGGAAGGGGTTGACGACAAGCAGGAAAGTCGAGAAGGAAATAGGGGTAAGTGTTTAGGGTGAAAGCCGGCAAAATTTTTGCTGATTATGTCGACCATAAAACTTCTCCTACTTTTATTCTATTTTGTCAACCCCTCAGATTTTTTTTTTGCCTGTCAAATTTATCTGCAAAAAAAGTTGAAAGAAAGTGGAAACATGTTTCCAAAATATTTGTATTAATTTTAGCATAAAGAAGCAGAAATTATGGGAAACAAAAACAGTAGAGGATGCATTGCTATTGATAATTCCTGTTTATTTACAATTAATAATTTTTACCCAACTTTTTTTTTTTCTTAACAACTTTTCTCTGCTATTACACACTTTTTTTTTTATTGATTTATTCTCAGGAGAACTTCTCAGTAGTTTAGTCGCCTCGGTAATTGCATGCAAAAATAATCGCTTTGATATTGTAGTTATTTAGCAATACAGAATAAAGGCAACCTTCTTCTTTTTCTTCTTTTAATTCTGTGCAGTTAAACGCACAAATACACAGTATGCGCAAATAAAAAAATTTACTGCCATAGAGACAGACGGCCATACGAATAATAAATATATATATATATATATATATATATATATATATATAATACGCTTATATGTCGGAGTATTTAAAGAAGTATTCATGAATGTGTTGTAAGCAAAAAATACATTTAAATTATAAAAAAGATATGAAGATAAAAAAGCATAAAGGAACGAGGGAAAAAAATAGCAGAACAATAACCAAATAAACCGTTTACTGTTTTCGCCTTTTTTTTTCATTTGGTACTGTTGACAAAAATTTTAGTGTTATTCAAAAATTACAGCATTAATTAATCGAAAGATATTTAAGGAAAAAGTTGATTTTAATATTTTTTCTTAAAATTTTTTCTGATCTTTATTGAAACCTTAAGTTTATAGGATTTGAGTAATAATAATAATTACATTCAGTAGTAACTGAAAATGATCAAAAGTTTTGCGTAAAGTAGCAAACATTTGTAAAACCACTTTTCTTTTTGCTTAAGTTTTAAACTTTTCCTAACTTCTTTTTAATTGTTATTTTTAATGTAAGTC